GCTGTTTGGACATTATCTATATAAGTTTGTAGAGATTTTTCTACATATATTCTGGTTATAAGTAAGAATATAAAGGAGCATAAAGTGCATTAATGCATGGTTCTTTTATTATTATGTGACAACAAACTTTATGCAAAGAAGAGCAAATGTAAATTTGCAAAGTTAAATGTAAAGTATCTATACCATATTGTAATATCCATGGATGTTAAGACAAATCTAAAGAGGGTGGCTATAGTGGAAAATTAGCCTACACAAGCTTCAATAGCCAGTTATATAATTTCTTTAGTATAATTAGTTGTTACTAACATTTCTTGTGTAAATTTGCAAAGGTGGTTACTGCTTTGACACAATTGTTACATAAGAATATGTCATTCAAGTAGAAGAAGGTACAAGAGTATAGTTTTATAGCGTTAAAATGATTGTTGAGTGAGTGTAGCATATATAATTTGGTAAGTAGAAATATAATCATGGTAGAAGAGTAAAAAGCTAATGGGTATTTAGAGGATTTGAACATAATTCAGATCAAATGTTTATAGTTTTAGTGGCTGATCATACTGCACAAACTCTAATTGATACATTATATACATATATTTAACTAGGTAAGTTTTATTTCTATTATTATTATTAACTAATAATTAATTAATATTTTAGGAAAAATTATTTATAATGATTTTTGGGCTGGTTATGATTCAGAGTGGTTGAATCAATTGAATTTCATTATACATTTAACCACTCCCAAAATTTTGTTCATTCTATGACTAAAGTTCATACAAATTGTATTGAATCACCATAGAATACAGTGAAAAGATCCCTTCTGGTACAACAAAAGGATTATACAGCTTTTCCTTTCAAGAATTTAATTAGCAAAAAATATATATTGAAAAAAAACTGTATTTAATATTCTATGTAGTTATATTAAGCTACATAATCATAATACTGTTATAGTAGAATAAAAAGTATACTTTATTTTTTACTTTTAAATACTTAAAAATAATTGAAAAATAATATACTAGAATTTATTGTAATGAGGTGGCATGCTTATGTAAGCAATGAGAGTCCAAATAAGCCAATGGGGCCCACCCTAAATAAAGGGGGTTGCATTCTACCTAGTTCAAGAATACAAGTGGTTCTTTGATCCCCATGGGAGCTTCCAATGGTTTGCAAGATTTGTGCTCAATCTTTCACAACATGGCAGTCAAGTAGGAAATCTGTGGAGCTTGAGCACGTATGGGATGTGCACAGATCACTGTACGGGCTCATTTGTCCTATTTGTGGAGCAATGATCTAGCAAGAAGCTCATTCTGCTAGAGGTGATCCACAGAACTTTGCCATTGGTGGACACTGGGACAGTTACAGCACTCACAAAAGCTCCTATCAATCGACAGGATTGATAAACATATGGATTCTCAATGCTGGCTCAGAGGATCAAATCCTGCTTACAGTTTTGTTTCATCCCATGAGTTTTCCAGGTAACAAGTTTCAAGTTTGAAATAAATCTTTTGTGACCATGTTCATATTTCAGGTTATGTTCAGGGGGGGGGGGGGGATTTTGCAAAGAGTATTGAAGCATTTTTTGTGTTTAAGCGAGCGTTAGGGGAGGTGCCCCTCCTTCCCTCAACAAATGGTGAACCCGACCTGACACACAGCACTTTCTGAGGCGTCATTTCTCTTTTTCTTTTGGCTGCAGACTTTGGGAAGAAATTCCTTGTTCATCTGATAGCGGTTTTATTTGATCTTTAGCGTGTTGGATAGGTTTGGAGCTCCTCTTTCCAGCAAGGTATGGTGCTTATCAAGCCATGCAGTATCTGAGGAGATACAACATTTCTTGGCTTGGTTGAATGAACATTTTGGGGTTTTCACTTTCTTGTTTAGATCCTCGGCCAAATTTCTCAAGGTAGTGCATTTAGGCTTGTACATCTGGCCTAGATCTACGAGTAGTGGTGATTTTTGGTGCTAGATTTGGCCAAATTGGTGGCATGCAAAAGGATTTTCTTCTCCAACTAGATGGGGTCATCTTTGTAGCAGGAATTCATGCTCCTCCGGGCTTTGTTTTGGATGCTATTTGTTTTTAGAGGTGCTCTTGCTCCTAGGCTTTCCAAAAACACCAATGGTGCCTTAGTATTGATCTACATCAGTGACATACACATGTTTTTCCACAATAATAATGTTCTGGGCTACCTCTTCTTGAATTTTAGGGAATATTGAGGTAGCTTCTTCCCAAATTCCTGCGATAGAGGGTAGACGGGGCTAAACCCTTTCCAACAAGCCCACCAACAGTCAAAATAGGGAAGCATTGAGGCCAAAGGACTCATTTTTTTTTTTGGGGCTAAACTTTGTTGGGAGTTCCTTGGGAATGAAGCAATCTTCAAGGAACAGGAGTTGGTATAAGAACAAGAACAGGAGGAGTAGGAACAAGAGTTGGCATAGGAATAGGGACAATAGGAACATATGCAAGGATAAGAGTTGGTGTTAGAGCAAGTGCAAAAGTAGGTGGTTACCAATTAAAGGTTACAAGTCTCTAGTTACTTGTTACTAGTTACTGGTTACCGGTTACTGACTACTCTGAGTGGTCAACACTTACTCTACAGACCAATGATTATTAATGGCCACTTTTTCAGAGTGCCACCACCATCTTGGCACTCCACCATATCATTTCATCTTTCATCATTTCCACACTTACAACCTTTGGGCAACACATCCCCTCTTTTACCTCTCTTTCTTTCTCAATTTCGGCCAATCTTTGGAGCATACTGAAAGTCATCAAGAGGCTGCATTTGCATATTACACTTTCCTGAGCCGAAATCCAGGT